ATGCAGCCCATAAATTCGAACAAAGCCATACTCTCATTGTGCAGTTCCTCAGTGCTGCTTCCTTGTCTTTCCCCGGCTCCTAATGTGTGTTTTCCCTGATGTCCCCTAGATTCTGGCTTTCTGTATTTGTTTTTTTTTTTATTTTTGGATTTCTGCCTCATTAAACGTGCAAGACTCACCTCTGCCTCCTGGTCTCTGCATTTGGGTCCTCAAAAACCTCTACCAAACTGTGACATTTTCAAAGTCAGTTGCTCTCAGTTCTGAGTTTATGTAAAGATCTGTAGGGTTCTTTACATTAAGCGACTCAGTCCAACACATCTGTACCACCGTACATTAGTGAAGTGTGGTGCACAAAAAAATAAAAGAAAATCAAAAGATTTCTGAGTGATGTCTAATGTTATCCATGTTTTTATTTTCTCTCTGTGTGTTCACTATTCTCAGCTCTGCCAGGGTTAGTTTTTCTCTTGATGTCAGTGTGTTACCTCTGAAAAATTTTTGTTTGACTTGGTTTAAAGTGGTTTCTTTATATATATAGAGAGAGTACAAAAGGAAAGATTTTTCCAAATAACTCCAGACAGATATATTGAGTTGTCATTCAGAACAGTATTCACATCCCCTAATGTTTTCACTATTTGTCACGATATCGAGTGACTGTCAGAGTAACGTGCTTGAGGGTTTTATATGATTTGTATTATATGTTTTGAGATGTGATTTCTATCTGACAAATCAACACAAACTATTTTATTGTTGAAAGCAGGTATTAATCTTCTGTAAGGTCCTTTGACTTTTACACCCTGTTTGTAAAAGGGAGCGCTACCACAGGTCATTTATCCCTGCTGCCACTAGACTCTACAATGCGACTCAATAAAGTCAATCAATCAATAATCTGATACATGGTTTCCATATTTATTTTGTTTTTACATTACATTAATCATATTTCAGTTTGTGTTAAGCAACAAATCACATCAAATGTAACCTCAGGAAACTTGCCAGTAAAAAATGAATCAAGTTTTATTCAGAGATGCAGCAACATGATGAATTTAATTAATATCCTGAAATCCATAATGGTTTCTTGTTATTATGTCATATATCCTAAAAAAAAAAGATAAAATCAAATGCTTTTTAAATTAAATAGGTAGGAAGGAAGCCCGGACTATTGCATCAGGTTAAAAAAAAATAAAACTATGAAAAATGTAAAAAGGATTTTTTTATTTACCCTTTTCCCAGCCAATGTCCTGTAGAACAACTTGTTTTCTGAAATAATTTTTCCTGTCCTCCCTTTTGTTTAGCTCCATTTTTCTTCCTATTAACTCTTACAAGCTTCACCGTCCCTAATGAAGGACAATATTCCCATATCATGACACCACCACCATTATGTTTCACTGTGGGGAGGGTTTCTAGGTGTCCCCTAGCTTATAGCAAAACATATCCTTTCTTAAAATGCATGCATCACTTCTTCTGCCTTTCCTACAAAAGAGGCTTCCTATTTCTTACACTCTTTTAAATAAAAGTTAGAATTGTGGCATGCATGAATAGGGACCACATCACAGCTGCGGCACCACGTCGAGCACTTCTGGATTTTTGTGAGGTTTAACGAGACGGTTTGCTCACTAATGTTAACTATTCTGAGATCAGGTAACATATAGATGAATTCCATTTACTCAATTACGGGGAAGAAGTAAAACAACTGTTTGCCCTACATTTTATTTAGGGGTATCCAAATAAACAGGGAATAATAAAGATACCTCGAAATATTTCTTCACATAAAATACCATTACATTTTTCTGTTGCAACAACATGACTGTGTGTGTCATGTTGTGTGTTAGTAAATATATATCCAGAAGCTTTATGAAACCAGAAGCTTTATGAGCATAAAGCTTCTGGTTTCAAGTAATTTTACAGATTTATATCTGTTCACGAGTATGATGTTGATTTGTTCAATACTTATAAAAATCGATTAAAAGAAATATTTATACTTCATTGATCTGCAGTTTAATATCACCATGTGGTCCATCTGTTAAAAAAAAACTTAATTCAATCATTATAAGGTGATTTCAATGCTAGGCATATTCAGGTAAAAGAAGGTTTCATTTATTTCTAGCTTGTGTGAGAACCCATTGCTGCTCAGTTTGAATGTAACTGACTTCCATCTATGATATAAAAGCAGATTACTGTAATCTTGATGCTTACTGGAGGTTTTGGAGGGATCCAGCATGTCTCATCAGCCTACATGCCCTGACTAGTCCTGCTCTCCTAGAGTCACGTTGGAAATAAAGATAATGTAGGGAAAAAAATCCTCTTTTATAGGTGCTTGGGCCTATATTTAGATGTCTGCAGTCTCAGCTCAGAGGCGTTTTGTTCTAACTGAATGAGTAATTCAGATTTTCCGGGCCAGATTATGTTTCTCCCATCGTAAAGGGAAAGGAATTCTACCTCCTTATCTCCATTCACTTTCATTTCTAGAACAGGAATAATGAGATTTTCACTGAAAGAAAGAAATTAAAGATGTTAACTGTTAACGTCCATTTACTCTCAGTAGTTCCATATTTTAATCAACTTCTGAAAAAAATTACCTAGAATTTAGTTTACTTTGCCACAATACTGGTGGACCGTAAGGCTTTATAGGCTCTTTTTAAGGAGTATTTTATGGATTTATTTGTTTCCCAAGAAGATCTGTTCGATTGGAGAGAGGACAGTTCTTGATTTATGTTAAATTGCATCACTTTAATTATCTGTAAGGACTTAAAAACAAGCAGTTTTTCCACTGGACTTTGTTTTCAAGTTTGAAGACATTTTGCTTCCATCCAAGAAACTTTTTAATTGAAAAAGCTTCTTTGACTCCATAATAATCATTTTGGTTTCACTGATGGTCTTTAACAGCTTTCAAAGAACAGCTGGATTTTTACTAGATTAAATTAAACAATAATTAATAGACTTCAAGGCAACACATTTCAGCCATTCAAACTATGAACAGAAAAACATGGTGATATTTTTTTCACAAAAACCACCAGTTTTACAGCCATTTAAACACAGAAGATGCCATTTACAACTATTACGTCTATCAATCATTTTCCGTTTTTTTCAAGTGACACAATCTCCACAGGTAACTGAGTGGTATTTACTATTAAAACCCATGCTTTTCTATGGTTCACTTTAAGAAATAATCCTGTTAGAGTTCTGGTTCTGTTATGTTTTTCTTTTGGATGTTCAGTTTTGCTTTGCTCTTTGTTTTCTGGTTTTTTTAAGGTTTAATTCTTAGTTTATTGTGTACTTTGTTTTTTTTCAGTAACTGTCTTAGTCTTGGTTCTGTTATGTTTTCTTTCTAGTGTTCAGTTTTGCTTTACTCCTTGTTTTCTAGTTTTAGTGGTTTAATTTTTTTTTTGTTGTGTTCTCTGGTTAATTCTTAGTTACTGTTTCAGTCTTGGCTCTGTTATGTTTTTTCTTTTGAGTTTTCAGTTTTACTCTGCTCCATGTTTTATAGTCTTGGTGGTTTCATTCTTATTTTGTTGTGTTTTCTGATTATTTTTAGTTTTCTAGGTTTTTATTTGTTGCCCTCTTGTGCTCTCCTTTTTCCCTAGCTCCTTTTCTGTTCTGCTCTATGCACACCTGTTCCCAATCTACTTGTTAGTACTCTCTTTGTCTCATTCTCCCTTAAATACCCTCTCTGTTCAGTTCTTCTTTGCTGGGTCCTCGTCAAACTTCCTCCTTGTGATAGCGATTCCCCCTGATGACTCCATGGTTTCTGGTTCGTCTTGACTTGTTTTCTTGTTTTGATTTTTGGATTTTTGGACTCCTGGTTTCCTGTAAGTTTGGACTTTGTGTTCACTTTTGGATTTTGGATTCCTGGTTTCCTGTTTGTTTCTGGACTTTGTTTTCATATTAGGATTTTTGGATTATCTGCCTCTGTTCTCAGTTAACTAATCATTAAATCCACAAGAAATTGTGACAAATCCTGACATTCTAATGATAGAGGGCATGAATGTCACTAAAGGCTATGCAATGTACAGAATGAGTCCTTCAATGGAAATCAGCACCAGGTTCCTTTTTATTAGTTGAAAACCACATTTAGCATATCTCTGCCTGGCATATTCTAGATCAAATATGTTTCCACCCATCATGTACAAATTTTGTGCACTTACAGTGAAGAGGTTGATAAATACGACCTGCGGTGTCTCTTAAAAGGACTTTAAGGGTATTTTTCAAGGTTTATTAAAGAAAAATCTTCAGAAGGTTCTCAGATTTTTTGCCTTTCATTCATTTTTTTTTTGTTTATGATAGTGCTTCTACTGGAAGAAAAATCTTTTATGTCTGTTGATTGTAGACCTGATGACTTTAAAGCTGCTCTTTATTTATTTCAATTGTGTATTGTCAGGTGGAAATTGCTTCTAAAACCCTCCGAGCACATTGAGCTAAAGTGAAAAAACTATAGATCTTGTCAAAACTGTTGCATGGGAGTCTGTCATCCAGCTGTAATTGTTCATTCTGAAGAGACATTGTCCCTGTTTGTCCTGTATGACACAGGCAGCCCCCGGGCCCTGCATGCGCTGTGGGAGACAGAGATACGAGCACTCCATAATTATTGACAGGTTTGATGCAGTCTGCGAGTGGAAAGTATGGGCAAATTGAAGTTTCAGCTGTTTACCCGCAGGCCCGCCACTGTAATGGAAAGATTTAAAGCCGAGGCCGCATCAGCCACCCACTGACAAAAAAAATACTAGCTGTTACTTAGCGTCGTCAGTGTTTCCTTTTTTAAAGCTCTCTGCCAGCAAAGGTAATTAGATTACAGAGGATTCTCTTATTTAAAGACTTGAGTAAAAGCTCTGCTGTTTTTTTTTGGATTATCCAGAAATAACAACGACGAAAGCATCCAGAGGCACTAGTGGCCTCTAATAGAAGTTACCCTTACCCTGTGGGACAGTTTTGTGTGGCAGAGACTTAGTGGGTCAGCTAAGTTAGTGGTCTTTCTGCACCAGTGAGCTGGGATCTCATTTGAATCGGTCCTGCTAGACTTGCTGAGCCAAGAGGCTGTCTGTTTGCACGGCCGCTGATCATGTCCCTCAGACTGCTGCCTGCTATCGTGATGGAAAACGACGAAGATGATGATGGGAACTTCACTAACTGGATGAGTAGTTACTGGGGTCACGGATCAGATTCTGGACATTCCAGAGAAAGGAAACGCAGTTTCAGACGGCCTTCGAAAACACAAGTTGATCGGAGAGCATCACTCCCCACTGTGGTAAGAACTGCCTGTGTACCTGGATGCATGCATTGCACTTAGTTTTAATTGAACAAAATGAAAAAAATGATTTCAAACTGTGCTATTTTATCCCAGAATGAGATTTATGTCCTTTTATCACTGTTATATGCTTGCTTTAGGTTGTGACCTCAATTTGACTTTAAATGTTTTATATCACTCTTGTTACAAAAAGTACAGCTCAGCAGACAAAAGGTTCCTGCAAAAGATAGTGAGGGAAGCTGAGATGTTGATGCGAGTGAAGCCTGTTTGTACCATTAGCATAATATAATCACCCATTTGCTAATTTCTCCTGCAACCTTAAACGTATACATGAATAATGCATCCTAAGTTCCACTGCGAAAGCAGAGCTCATCCATCAACCCCAGGATCAGAACACAATCATTTAAAAAAATATCAGAACACTAAATAAAATAAAAAAGAATACCAAAATTAATGAGAATTTAATTTAAGAGCAGATATCTAGTGAATATTAATGGTTTCTTACTAAAATTCAAAATCAGGCAAGTTCTTGCATTGGTGCTATAGTACTGTACTGTGGGCAGTAATAGGCATTTTATAAACTAGTATTTTGCCTTGTATTTGCAATAGGAGTTAGCTTCAAACACAAAGCATATCTCACTGTTTTTAAACTCACAACCAGGACATAATCAACCCAGAAGTGATATCGATCTGTCCTCTGAGTCTCATGATTGCAGATAAATTGTGTATCTGATATTATTAGAATTATTAAATGTTTTTTACCCTAGTCTTCTACATAACCAAGATAACATAACTCTGATTTTACTGCATGCTATTAAACTTATATGGAAATTTCAGATGCGGCTTTGCATTAAAGAACATTGTAAACATACCAACTCAGACTAAACACATTTACTTCAGTGAACCGTTTTGAATGGATCACACTCACACGCAATGTGAGAGGAGGACCCTGAACAACATGTTGTTCGATACTGTCAGAGTTACAGCAATGAAAAGAAATGTTTTGAAAATAAAGAATTAAGGTTAAAATCGGCTTAACCTCTTGAACTCCAAGGTCCCCCTATTGGGGGACCTTGGAGTTCACTGCAGCAAAAGATGCACAATGCTGCACTAATTGTGTACCAATGTAGCCAAACCATACATCAAACTAAACAGGAGGAACTCTGCTACAAGCACATATAAGTCATTTTAACATACACCAAACACAACCCAAACACCAAGCATGTTGAGGTTTAAATATCAAAATGTATATAACGTCAGAGCTATGCAATGTGCAAGCTTGGATATAGATATTTACCTCCATCTGCATCATTTTAAAGAGATATTCATTGAAAAAGTGAGTTTGTTTTTTAGGCGGAAGTGAAATATTTCATTCTTTCTTGTGTTCCATCTTAATTTACTCTGGGTTAGTGACATAATTACTGATACTTACACACTTGAACAAAAGTCCCAGGTGTTCCCTTTATTATGACACCAAAATGACTCAAATAGACCTTGTAGATGCAAAGATATACTCTATTTATTTTGGATATGTCATTTTCGAGCAGAAACCTTAAAAAAAGCTGTAGCGCTTAAGAGGTTTAGGAAAGGTGTGCCATTTATTAATTAAAATCTAAATTAATGCATAAATAAGCAAAGATAGAGTTTTGGTCTGTGTTTATAAGAGGAACATTCTGGCTAACACTGGATGGCAGTAATTAAACATTAAATCTACTAAAATTAAAAAACAAAAAATAGAAGAACATTTTATCTGAACAGTTTTACAAACCAACGAGCAACCAGTTAATTTATTGCATGAATAAATCTCTCTCTTTTAAAAAAAAAAATTCAGACTTAAATAAAATTTCCATTTGGGATTAATAAAAAAAATTTGAACTGATTTGAATTTTCAAATGTACTTTAACTACCGTAATGTGTTTTTTTTTTTTATTTTTATTTTTATTTTTTTTACATAGGGAGGTATGTATTTGGACAGTCATGGTACAAAATAAAATGTTGACATTCTTGTAAGTCAGCAAATTACTGACTCCTTCAATAAAGATTTATTGAATTCATTCACATTTTTTAGCGTTTTTTTCCCCTAAAATGAAAAATGAATATGAAATATGGTGAAATTGCAAAAGCATATTTGACTTGATTAGCCTAGCACATTTGATTAGCCTCGATTAGCACATTTCAGTAACATATGTAAATAATGGGCATATATTAGTGTGAAAGTTTCTATTTAACTTCTCTGCTCTTATTCACATTAACTCAAAATATAGGACTGTGTGATGCTGTCGCCTCGTTCCAGTTGCCATCCAGCCTGATGATGTAGGCTAATGTAGCTCTGTTTTCCACAGAATTTAAAGCAACTTTTCCTTAGCTAAACCTGAACCATAAATAGTAAAAAATTAATAAATACATAAATAAACTGGTTGAAATTAAATACCAGTGGTGGTTCTAGACCAAGTTTACCAGGCTGATGAGGGTGGAGCCCTTTTTTCCCATGGGGCCACCGAGCAAAACAATTAAACAAAAAACAGGCCAATAGTTCATCGTTTGAAATATCAAGTTAACCAAAGAGCCATTTTTTACCGTGCAATCCTTAGATATAGCAGAAAAATATAACTCTACCTCAATATGACCAAAGCTAAAAGTGCGACAATTCAATTTTTACATCATTGTAAAATTAAAACAATTCACACCAAAAAAATGCAGTTTCTCTTCTAGTGCACACCCTCGTATATTTATAATAAATTTAGTAGTATGTTATATTAAAAGTACTATGTCTTTAGTATAGTTAGTTATAACAGGGGTCAGGACCAGGTCTAAAGGTGCACTGAGCCCTGTTGGCCCATATCTATAACCACCCATGTTAAATACTGAGAATTGTAAAAGTGAAATGCAGTATAGATAAATGTATGACCCTGTATTATAGCTAATAATGATTTCCAATTTAATTTTAAGGTTGGATGAGGTCATATGGGCTTTGACTGATTACAGTTATTTAATCCTTTAACAGTTTAACACATAAAGGATAGAAATAAAGCATGCCGCAGGTCTTTTTCATTCTTGATACGGGTCATTTTGAATAGAGACAATAAATTTTGTCAGTATTTTTTACATGACATATCGGTTTTTAAAACCAAACAGAGTTCCTTGGAAGACATGGGATTAGCTGCTACTCTAAAAATGGGTTTGGTTCGTAGTTCTAATGCATTTCTTATATAGGAAGAAAATATTTGAATATGCTTCATCATTTCATCTGCCATTTTTTTTTTTGTCAAAACTGATAAAGGAAATATTGTCTATGTCTGACCTCTAGCCGATTAACCGATGCCCTTCTGATCCCATATATCTCATGGGATTTAATGTCCCTAATTTTATTAAAGAGGACTTTTGGTGAAGGTTTTAAACAGTTCTAAATGCATGTATATTCTAAATGTCCAATATACTGTATATCTAAACATTCTTTTACAGTTCAAACTTTTAGACTTTCCAGTATGGAATTATTCACAGAAATTATCTTTATTTGAGGAACTTTTCATTAAAAAAGAGCTGGTGATCTCACATAACCATAGCCAAAAGCAGGTGGGGACAGAGAATAACAACCTTATAATCTTAAACCCAGCTCAGTATAAGGAGATCATGGCTCCATAAAGGCTAAAATAAGAGCAAACGCCTCGCTCTGTTTAAGCTTCAAGCAAACCCAAAGGTAGTTCAGCAAATAATAAAAAAACAAAAAAAAACAAAATAAGCATTCATCCAGCCTTCCTTCTATTTCCTGCAGTCGATTAATCCTGACACTCTGCAGAGCAAACAATATTTCAAAAATATATGGTTATTCATACTTTTTTATTATGTTTTTTAATCAAATATTTCTCTTGCAAGAGTTAAAGCTTCTGTATTGTTTCTACGCATGGATTCTCTGACAATGTAGAAGCTCCACATTTAGATAGACATGAATACAAATTTAGAAGAGGACTCTACAACATGGTATGGCATTAGCAATGCAATATTTTATCTCTCTGGTTATGAATTCATAGACTGTAGTTCTTTGACATGTATCGATTACCTGTCAACAAAGCAAAGATTGGTACATGGAACACTTATATTGAAAACACTCAAACATTATTGTGTAGTGAAATGAAATGCACGTTTTTGTTACTATACTCAAGAAGCATTTTTACTTTTACGTTTTACTTTTACTAACCTAAATTTGAGCAAAGATATCAGTACTTTCTAATCCTTTTTCAAATCTGTCTCATTACTTCTATGCATGTTTATAACACCTCGTATTTATCATGATCTGTTTCAAATTTAAAGCCATATTCAACTTTAATGCTGTGAAAGCAAAAAATATCAACTACTTTTGTTCACTTCGAATCTATATTATCCTATCTGAAATTTTATTTTAGAATAGAATAAAACAGACTGAGTCATTATTTTTTTTGTCAACCAACAAAGTGGTAAAATAAGAGAATAATAACTTTCCTGTGCATCCAACTTATTTTTTGTTTTGTTAAAGGAAGAAAAAAGTTTATAAAAGAATTCTGTATTATTTAAGGCAAAAACAAAGCCATTGACCTAGTAGGTGAACCCAGGGTTCACCTATTGGGTTATCCGGTCATCCCGGCACAGAGTCCTCGGTCCTGGGATTATTGGATATGAGTGTTGTGTGCAAATGTATGTATGCTGTTTATATTTTATTTTTTTGAAGAGTCTGTGTGTTGCGAGTGGGGGCACTAGGGTGGGAAGGTGTGATTGAGACTATGTATGTTTTTTTCTTTCTTTCTCTGCTGTTTACTTGTCAGGTTCCAGTCTGAACTGATCCCCCTCCCAAGAACATCTCAAGTCTCCGCTAAGTGTGGAGCCCATTCCCCCTGTCCTGGCCCTCTCCACTTGCCGGCACTTTGGCTCGCCTTCGCATTAGTGGTGCTCATTACTGGCCGCTGCTTCGCGGGGGTTTGTCCCTCGGGGCCTGGTCAGGGCTCCTGCCAGGGGGCGGGTCGCCCCTGGGGCCTCGGGTGCCTTGGGACCATGGCCTGTTCCACTTCGGGGTGGATCCTGGGGGGTTCGGCATTGCGACGTCTGGTAGGGGGCAGATTTCCTGGGTTGGCTCCCATTTTGGACGCCCTTACTCTGGGGGTCCCTCTGGGCATCTGGGGTTTTGGGTCCCCCGGCAATTGCCTCGGTGCTCTGGGGGGGTGGG